TGATTATTTAAATAATCGGGATTACCATGTGGTCCCAATAGCACCTGAATTTGCCAATTTGCTGTAAATTTCAATATTACATCATCAAGCAACTGAAATTGGATTAAACTATCATTAGACTCCATGCTTGATTGATCAATATTGAACAAAGGTAAGAAATCAGCACTTTTCAAAGCTCGACCCTGATGTCCGCCTGCATTGCAAGATATAAAAGTTGATTTCGAATTCAAGTAAGTCGGTACATCAATACCACCTAAAATAGCCAGATAACATCGACAACCACATTTGTATTAATATTAATGACTGATTGTATATCCAATATTGAACCTGCAGGTAGAAATATTTTGGAATACATTGGCAATGCTATCGACTATTTTGAATCAGGTAGAAGTACTTCAACTTTGAATAGAGCACCAGTGATAGCAATAGTTGATGATTTATAAAATAATAATTTTGGACCAGAGTGTGTGATTTCTAAACATTCCGTATGGAGTTTATTGCCAATAATTAAATTAGCTAATTGAAAAGATAGTTGATCCATAGGACCAGATGGTTGGATACCATATACACGTAGATCTAATCGTCCAGGATAATCTTGAATTGTCGTTTCAGTACCAGATCTGAAGACATAAATACCATCGGGAGTATAAGTAATCGAGTCGAGTAACTTTGTAGTAGTATTACCCGTAATAAAATCTTCATTTTGAAAAATAGTTTTTAGTAAAAGAAGATTTGTAATGGGACCAGATATGATTAGTTGATCCAAGACTGTTCTCATTCTCTTCATTGCCTGATCACGATTATCACCATGAACTAGTACTTTAGCGAGTAAGGAATCATAATTCGATGTAATATTCGTTCCTGTTGTAATCCAACTATCAATTCTTAACCAAGGATACTGATCTGGCCACTGGAGAAATGTAATCAAACCTTCTGATGGCATATAATCATGCAGTGGATCCTCAGCACAAATCCGTACTTCCATTGCGTGACCATGTGGGGCATACACATATTGAATACGATTGTTAAAATCAATGATAGAATTTTGTAATAAATGATTGAATTCATATTTCTGATCTTTTAAACTTAATTCTATCATCCATTCAACTAAATCTATGTCAGTTACTAATTCAGTAATTCCATGTTCTACTTGTAGTCTAGTATTCATTTCTAGAAAGTAAAATGCTCCAGTATCTTCATCATTTGGACCATTATCTACTAATAGAAACTCCACTGTACCAACTGAATTATAGTTTACTGATACGGCTAATTTCTTTGCACAATGAAACAGCTCGTCTAATATATTTTGATTACTATTTTCAAAGAAAGGTGAAGGTGATTCTTCGATTATTTTTTGATACCTTCTTTGAATTGAACATTCACGAGTACCTAAATGAATAATATCACCATTACCATTGCCAAAAATTTGTACTTCAATATGTCGACTATTAGGATAATATTTTTCAATATATATATCACCATTATCAAAATATCTTGAAGCCTTTTTTCGACAGTGTTCGATTGCTGATAAAAGATCATCATCATTATGACATATTTGCATACCAATTCCACCACCGCCACCTGTTGCTTTGACTAATATCGGATAACCACCAATTCGCTCAATATCATTTTTTGCCAGTTGAAAAGCTTCATTATTATTTTCGGGCAATAAACCTGTCGAGCCAGGGATGATCGGAATATTTAATTTCTTCGCTAAATCACGTGCATAATGTTTTAAACCAAAACTGTGAATAGTTTCCGATCGTGGTCCGATGAATGTAATCTTTTCATCTTCCAATCTTTTTACAAACTGAGAATTTTCACTTAAAAATCCATATCCTGGATGTAAAGCATTGACATGATATTTTTTACAAATTTCAAAAATTTCATCAGTATTCATGTAATCCGATATGAATACAGATTCATCGGATTTCAAAGTATGTAAAGAATATTCATCTGGTTCAGTATAAATCGTCACTGCTTTTAAGTTTAGTCTTCGACATGTTTGAAGAATTCGTACAGCAATTTCACCACGGTTTGCGACTAGGATTTTGATAGTATTTTCTTGATTTTGTTTCGTTTCTTTCCATTGTTTTAAGAGATGATTGACCGTTTCAGCGACATCAACAGAATTTGGGGTATCAGAATGGATACATATTGTATCAAAACGATTGAATATTTCAGTGGTATTATCGTTTGCGAGAATTTTCCTTTCATTTAATGCTAATTGAACATGTTTTATTACTTTATTCAAATCGATCGGATCGTGTTGACGAGTTATGATTAATTTACCCTCAGGATTGTATTCTAAATCGGCAAAAAATTCAGCAAGAAATGGGATGTTGAATTTTTTGGCACAAATTTCATGATAAGTATTTGCCAGACCAATTAATTTTATTTCGTTGTTGTCTCTAATTTCCTTATCATTACGATTTTTGGAAAAGTATTGAATAGCTTTGCATAGTGCATCGCATTTTAATTCATCATGAGCAGTCATACTATATAATGAACCATGAGCTTTGACATGATGTAACGGTAAACCTTCTTTATTTAAAAATGCTTGTAAAGCACCAACTTGATAAACAATGAGATTTTCGATCTCATCAGGATTCATTTTCATTTCACGTCTGCCGAAGCCTTGTAAATCCGGTAAGCCTGGATGTGCACCAATTTTGATATGAGAATGTTGTTTGGCTAGTTGAATGGTTTTGTTCATTTCATTGTAATCACCAGCGTGAAAACCACAGGCAACATTGATCAAATGAACATGCGACATCAGTTCGTTATCATTTCCCATTTTCCAGATTCCATAACTTTCTCCCATATCACAATTTATTGTTAGATTCATCTTTTCGCCGTAAGAAATGTATGAAATACTGATGCAATCTACAAATGATCAGACATGTATTCGACATGTATCAGACATGCAAAATGTAATGATTATTGAGCAAAATACTTCACTTGTTCGCTCATGTACGCTTCTCACATACGACAAAGAATGCAGATATACTGGATACTTTGCAGCCATCAAACTGTAAGCACCGTCAACTACAAAATGCATTGTTTACCGCCCATAATAGTCCAGAGGATTGCGGAATTCGCAGAAAAACAGAAAAATGATAGCCTTTTTTGTCTATAGACATCGTGATGTTGTAAACGCGGTCTTGGAAACCTTTTCATATGTGTCTTGCTAATATCAGAGAAAAAGCACTGTCACTTCTATTTATCGTATCGTCGACTAAGACTCCCCTTTCACGGTGGCACTTAGACACCGGAACAGTTTTCACAAATGCCTGTTTCTAATTACAAAACAAAACATCTTAGTTAAGATCATTGTTAAGACTGTTACATCTAATATATGCAATGTTCCGGTGTAACTGATGTTTCTTATCTATCTCAAATATTTGTCTAATCATCGTTATATGTAACGAAGGAGATATCTGATTTGTTTATAATATAGATCTTCTTTCAGCAGTATTTTATCACTTTGAAAATAAGTAATAGAATAAAATATAAACCCAGGACGAACAAACCGGCTGTCGGATCTCATCGTGTCCAACAGGGATTGTCGACCTTCATCCGATGAAATGCCCCCATCATTGATACTTTACTTATCAGCCTTTAATTTTTTAAAAGGCTATATTTCTATTCAGATTAATACTCACTGTTCAGCTCTCATATTCAAATTGATCTTCAACAAAAACAAATTTAATTTAATTCACAGGGACACTTACTGTTCAGTTTTTGTTAATAAGTTGACCTAGAATAGAGAAAACAAATTACTTGATTGAAAATTAAACTTGCTGTTCAATTTCGATGTTATCGGATCCGACATGTTCAGAGAGTCGGATATTATCGGATCTGATTATCGGAATTCGTCGGATCCGATGAGGTGATTTCGACCTAGGAATGTATCATTGGATCTGAAGCATTCAGGTCCCAGAAACGTGTATGCCCCGCATAATTAACTGTTGGTGCAACATGGGGTGAGTAAAACAACCAACTACGATCAAAGCTTTGAAATAAAAATTATGTACAAACACGATTGTTTCAAAAATGTCCAAAACAAACTATTGGCTGAATTGTCTATTCATTACGAAAATATTTTTGTCGGAGCATTGATGCTAGTTAGAGCACGACTTATTCTTCTTTGCTTTTTTCAACACTACAATGATCACATGCTCTGCTAGACATTGCACTGAGCAACTGGTATGCTAAATGTTGATATCTGTTCCTTCTGATAGACGGCATCTATGAATTTTCCGTTCATAGATGTAAATTCACGTTAGTAAACTCCTCGTCATTCACCGGTTTTTATAATAAATGATAAACGAGGAAACACTAATATTTTCCGCGAAATAATTGTGCTGCTAGTTTTTTTCGTCCCATTTATATAAAAAGTCGAATTAGGCATCTACTCTTACCACTTAAACATTGTTATTTGAAACCTTACCTTTTCTCGGCGCATGATTCGTTTGCTCATTAGTAACTCATGTGCGTCTCTCTTTCTCTTGTATGTCGAAGAAGGAGAAAAGCGAAAAATAAAAAGACTGTATCACGGGGCGACCTTTTCTACAATGCTACACGCCACAAGTGGATCCTACTGAATGCTTTGATTAATCAAACGTGTATCGAGGGAAAAAGCAATGACATAAATTTCTTTTCCTAGTAAACAGTTCTTTAACGAAAAGCCATATCGATTAATCTTCAAATGATCATTCAGTAAAGTATCGAAATATAATTGATACATTTACAAGAGATGAATGACCAAGAATTAGATACGTCTAAAACATGTGGTGAAGAAGAGTAGCGGAATCAGGTGTTGCGTTCTTGTTAGAATAGCTGACCAAAAAATACTGTCCAAAACCTAATGTATTGTTTTTTTAGAAGCGTTGACGAAGTAAACGTGCACATGGCCATATTGTCATGATTACTCATCATTGCGCTTGAGTGCATCGTTTATTCTTATTTACAGTGGAGTGCAAAAGTTCTTGTCCTGTCTGTACCCTAGCTTTCTCTTAGCGTAACTTTGGAAATCCATGAGAGACTTTTCTGAACAGTTTCTAGAAGTAATGAGGGGGTGAGAATGACGCTGTTTGAATCGAAGATCATTCTTCAAAAATGTGAGATCATGAGAAACGCACTTTACAATAGAACTCTGCTCAGCCGTAACTGAAGCAATAATCTCATTTACACTTTTGGTATGAAAAACCATCGATATTTCATGAAAAACAGTGTTGGGAGCAAGCTTTTTATTCAAAATTTCAGATGAAACGCGCTACAGATACTAGAACAAGCACAATGTAGAACACATGCTATTTTAAGTATACTGCAAGGGTGTCTATGCTTGCCAATAGATAGCTGTCACTTATTATTCATCCATGACGTTCAGTATTGTATTGGGTGAATCCATGGGATCACGACCCCGCCATACAACAAAGTTCTCTGATTCGAGCGAAACTTTCACGGTCGGTGGAGCAAATGAGGCTAAGAACTTTCATAGAAAAGTTTTCTCTTCAATCGTTTGTTTGAAAGAAGCAGAGCAACAATACTTTTACCATGAAAAACCGAAAATAGGTATGCTGGTAAATCTGTCACGATGGGTTTTTACGGTGTATCTCACGAAACCAAGCACCAGAAGCTATTCCCGGACCGCCATTCGATTCCTCTCGACACGCTGTATCGTTTTCAAGTACACAGAATATTAGGTAAGGCGAAAGCATCACGTCCTCTGTTCGTGGAGCTTTGGTTGAAAACAACGGTTTTCATGAACTATTGGTGACTACCGACGGCCTTGGAAAAGCACGTTCTTCAATTATCTTGACTTTTTCGTGTTTTCAGGTTGATGCAGCGTGTCGAGAGGAATCGAATGAGGGTCTGGGAGTCGCTTTTGGTGCTCGCTTTCGTGAGATACATCTAAAACAATCCATTGGAATAGATTCACAAACATCCTCACTTTCGACTTTTTATGGTGAGATTATTTTTGTCCTACCTCTTTCAAACAAAGGACCGAAGGGAAACTTCTCCTACCAAAGTTCTTAGCCTCACTTGCTCTACCAACCGTGAAAATTTCACTCGAATCGGAGAATTTTGTTGCATGGCGTGGTAGAGATCCAGCAGATACACCCAGGAGCTGTCCCGACTATCTGCTATTTTTGAAGAAACAAAGCGACGGCACAGTCGCTGCTTCACTCGATAGTAGATATCATCTTATTATTCATTCGCACTGATTTTCCATACGACAAGTGCACTGCTTCTTCACTATCGCTGATTCTCATCTCATGATTCTCTACTTTCTTTAGATGTGTTGGCCCAGCATTTCAACTTGCTGTCGATATCGGGCACCGTAGACGTTCTGGCTCAGGCCGTTAGCTTAAAACTTGTACATAAAAACGATATACTTTCATCATACATTTGTGCTTGAATGTTAACTCTGGTGTTGATTGCTTTTGTTTTATATTGATCATCCTAGGAGTTCTGCATGTTTTCTTTTCAATTTTTTCTTTGCTGGTGTTCAGTCCATTCTACTGCTAGTTTACATGATGTTGAAATGGCTCTACAGCCATAGTCTATACACGCGAGCTCTCTGCTTTACAAACATCATATCGATCACTCAGATTACCAGAGGAAATCAAGCAGCCATTGATAAAATATGAGAGAAAAGCAGTGTTTGTCTACTATCTCCGATCCTGATAGAGTGGCACAGCGGTCTTCATTGAAAAAGCGTCGTAAAACACTTCGAGCTCAGCTCAATCGAAGTCAATAGCCAAAATCTATGGGTGAGCTGCTCCACGTATCACCTCAAGGTTGGGTTGTACTTTTTATTTCAAACAGAAAAGCTTACTGCTATGTGGAGAGAAAATACTGAATACTACTTTCCAATGAAGTTTGTCAAGCATCGACATCCAGTTACCCTTCTTCGATAATCTTAACTGAAGAAGTGAAGAAAGCCCTTTCATAAAAGGGTCAGTGAACCTTTGGATGAACGTGACGTTTGGTATATATTCTTCCGTTTTTCTGTTGCAATCAAAAACATCTGTATTGTTCGAAACGTCAAATCAGTTTATGGTAAATGAAATCGTGCCTGATCTCAAAAGAATGATATTCGTTAGTAGCCGCTCTCCAGAAACCATATTATCCGATACAATATCTGAGATGAATTGAGGTAAACCGACGATTTCAGTGTTAGAAGAGTTTCATTTTTAGTCTGTTGACAGCGACTGCTAACTGTTTCATCATTTCCGATACTATTTGGCTCGAATTCAATCCAATCACTCTTGCAAGTTATCCGATAGCCCATTTTAATCACCATTGCCAAGGATGCTTGATTGCCTTGAGCTACATAGCCAAACGAGCCCTTCTGGATTTGACATACTTCGGAAGCCAATCGAACACCTATTTGATATGAGAGTCCAAGTCGACGAGCTTCCGGCAGTGTGAATGCCATATCACTCGATCCATCATACTGTGTAATTCGCCAACATACTAGTTTGCCGTGATGGTACGCCCCTGTAAAAAGAACTTCAGTTCATTTGAGACCTAGTTTTTCAAGATTCCAAGTGGGCTGTTGTTCAATCGTGAGATCAGAGTTCAGCATTGGCGATCTTAGAATTAGAGAGCTGAATAGAGTTTCTGTCGAGAGGAAAAACCTGCAGATATGTCGAGATTTCAGAATTCCTCGACTTTGAATACTAATTTAAAAGTTCAGACAGTAAGTGTTAGAATAACTGGTGAAAGTTCTCTTGGTTACGCTTAGGTTCCAAATGGGACTAACGAAGGTCAATTTTGAGTTTGTATTACCATAAAACTCTAGCACAGATGAATTCATAAGAGTCAATCCTTACCTAA